TGTGTGTGTGTGTGTGTGTGTGTGTGTGTGTGTGTGTGTGTGTGTGTGTGTGCGTGTGTGTGTGTAAAACTTATCTTCATTAAGTCTGTGTTTGGTGTTGTGACCTCTGAGTCACTACCAATATGTTACCAAATGAATTACTGCTTGAGTTGGAAGTGCGGCTTCTGATTGGTCATTGAAGCATTTTGCTTCAGCAAACTGAAGTCCGTCAAGTTTCCTAGATTATTGCAAATATCAAGAAAGAGAGAGATTTTCTCCTGAAGCAAAGTACAGCTGGTCACCGCGTACGGTGGAGTAGTGCCCCAACTGCCACTGCCCTGCACCAGAGAATGGGACAGTGCTAAATATACAGTATTTCTGTATCTTGTGTTTATGAACAGGACAGCATGCTGCAGGGAGTCAGTCAAGTCCTTGGTGTTCTACCTGTGGGATGTTTACTCTTCAGCTAAGCCTCTGGGCCGACACCTCTGGACCCTGACCGCTCTCTGTCTCACTCTGGCCGTAGTTACTGGCACTCTGCTCTACCACTGGCTCTCCAAAACGCTGAAATATGACCACAACACATCAGCTCACACAGCGCTAGTGTACGGCGTGGCCATGTTGCCCACCACCTTCCTGTGCCACCCGCTGCGCTGCGTGCTGACCATGACCCTGCCCACCGTCTGCACCAAGCAGGGCCGCAAACTCCTCATCTCCGCCGCAGTCATGATTCTCATGTGCAACGTCATCCCAAACATCAGCGTGAATGTCGGCGCAGTCCTACGCACCCTGAAGTGCACCGCCGATGGCTTCTCCAAGACTTTGTTGAACTCTTCAGAACTTTTAAACACAGCCAGGCAGGACATGGTCAAGGAAGCCATTCAAGTGAGGAAGGAGGACTTGAGCATTGTCACCAACTTGAGGATGTTGGATCACTTCACACACGTGGATGTGTCCGAGGTCAAGAGCAGGTTTACGAAGATGATTGGGCAAGTGGAAATCAACTTTTCCTACATGAGGAAAATGATAACACAGTACAAACTATTGTCCAACAGAATTCTGGCAGCCCTATTTGTTGCTTTGCTGATTTGGGAATCTGCACGCTACTTGAAATCATATCTGACATCCATTACATTCGATAATAACCCTATCTCCAAACGGCTCCGGCAAAATGAAGCTCACGTTACCACCAGGAGGTCGGTCCCTATACGCGGAAGATTTCAAATCAGCAGTGGGGAATGCACCCCCAGTGTCATATCACTACTGGTGGTGACGTTATACTTCACCGCGATAGCTTTAATCGCAGCCTTAGACCATATTGTGTATCATACAGTTCAAGTCATTCTGCCCTGGCTGCTGGACTTTCCAGCCATGTCTGCCAGCATCAACGTCAATTATAAGGTGAGGATACACACATGGTCAAAGCCATTAAAAAAATGCAATTTGCAGGGGGGCCCAACTCATTCTTGTCACACATCGTCGTGACCGTGGCTGTTCTGTGAATACATAATGACCTCCTGCCATCTAGTGGAAGAGCGTTTAATTGTTCTGCCTTGCAGAACATTACACATGCAGTACATTTGATTGATCATTAATCTGAGGAAACAATGATTTTAGGATATCGTTTTGTTTTGGTGGTATGCAGCTGTGAGGTTTTTGTAATGTACTGCCTCGGTTTGAGAAAAATTCCAAAACACCGTGCTAAAGGACAAGTATTCGTCATTAGGCAAATTGTCTTGGCCATTGCCAATTAATTTACTTGACTGATTAATGAATAACGCTTTCCGCCGCCAGGTACAATGGTTTCCACCGGCATTTTGCATCCTGCCACACGCGTGCATCACGCGGCAGCTGACGGACTTCCGCAAGGAGTACAAGTGGAACTTCAGCCCCGAAGCGTCGATTTGTGATGCCACGACTTCAGCTCCCAGCGCGGGTGTGAGCGCTCTGCTAGCATGTCTGTGGCTAATGAGCTACCTGCTGCTGTTCCTCGAGGCGTACGCCACAAGGCTACGGAGGAACATCTGTGCGTCTTTTTTTAAAAAGCAAGAAGAAAGGAGAGTGGCTTTTTGGAACGCAAAAGGCCAGGCAAAGCAAGACAGAAAGGCGCCAGGAGATGCTGTTTTGGTTGTCTGCAGATGACATGACCTTGACTGTACGTTTTCTTCTTCTTTTCTTCAGTCAAGAGAATGATATCAAAGAACACCTTTCAGTGAGCAGCATTTCAAGCCACAAGTCGCTGGGGTGAACATAAAGTGTGAATGTTTAACCCTGTGGCTTTTACACTTTTTGTGCTGCATGACAAAACACTCAAAAGACTTCAACATTGTCGAAGGTCCAAAGATTCTTTGTCAAGTTCATAGACAACAATACAATGCATCAGGGGCGTCACTAGGTTTCAAGAACAAGGGGGGCTTAGCCCCAAGGGGAACACAGCCCCTTTAGGGGGGTCCAGGGGCATGCCCCCCCGGGAGAAATTTTTTCTACATTCTGTTAAAAATCCATCAATTCCGTGCACTTTGAGAGCAAAATGAAGAGGCTATGAAGAACTACACACATCACATTAGTATCCTCTTGACTATGATGGGGCTTCCTCCCCTGGACTTTAACTGGACTAGATAATAGAAATTATAAAGAGTTCAAAAGTTCAATCTTGGTTGTTCAAGGGAATTAGAAGGATGCCCGATAACATAACCTATATGACAGTAGGCCTATATTCCTCTCTACCAAAATGTATTAATATATGCTTAGCCCCCAGAAGACTATGTATTTTGAGATGTCTGCCGTGATATGCAATTTTAGTACAATGAGATGCAAAAGCTTCATCACTTTGGAAAAACACAAGTTTGCTGCTCAATATACTTACTGTAAGCTCCGATTGCATTTTGGGAACAGCCTTGCAAGTAAAATTAGCCTTGAGATCTGATAG